CCTGGTGTTTTATGCCTGCTGCTTTTTTTGTCTTTGTGTTTGTACCTGGCGGGGTTCTGTCTATTTTTTTTTTCCTTTTTGTGCATTATTTAAAAACCCCCCCCCCCCCCCCCCCCCAAGCGTTTGCCGCTGACTCCAAATTTTGCAGCATATCATGTATAGCAATAGAGCACTTCATATTATCTGAAGCTGCAAGGAGAGCGCAGAATCTCGGGCGCGCCAATTTAAGGGGCAAGGCGAGAGTTGCGTATCATAAGGCATTTTGGCTTCTTTACACCGTTGAGAAAATAATTAATTTTCACTTTGGGAGGAATTCTGTATGTCGTTTCTATATCGCCATATCCCCCTATCCAAATTTAAAGAGCAGCTTCTCTAACATAAAGCGAACGGCTGTAGATATTCGTCGATCATGACATCGTGATCCCAATCCCATCCGTGCCCGACGCGATTGTGGGGGAGCTCGACTGGTTTCTCACAACTGCAAGATACGCGCGTTTGCTGTCGAAAGCTATGACATCTTTGTTCTCTATTTCCGGTACGGAGAACCCAAGAACTTATTACCTAGCTATAATCGACCAATGCGAGACCGAGCTAGAGGAATGGCGGATGTCGATACCAGCTAATGTCCGACCGAGTGAACCGTACCGGACGCACACGTTACAGGGCATGGTGCTTCGAGCAGCTGCTCTTGGGGTCCATTTACTCTACAACAGTTTTAAATTGAGCCTTTGCCGAGCGACACTGTACTTGGCTGCAAATACTAGTCATGTTGTAAGTCAGGCCCGCCAGGCTGAGAGCACGAGAAATATGATGGAGACATCGCGGTCCGTGTTAGAGCTGACGGCTTTCATTGATGTGGAACCAAACACACCACTATGGTAAGTTCGACAAATCGGACTTTTATATTTCTCCTCGCTAACTCCTTAGTAATAGGATACTAGCTGGTATTCCAATTGTTGCTCTCTTCGTACTATTCGATCTAGTAGTTACAAACCCAAAACACGCCGAGACGGCAACAAATCTCGCTCTCCTTGACATGGGTGGCGGCCACTTCAGCAGGCTTGAGTATGCGAGCGGCGGTGGCCTCCCTGGCTCATTGATTGGCGAGTTTGCACATATTGCCCGCGAGTATGTAAATACCATAAAGAGAGAGGGCATATCGAATCAGATTGTTGACAAACAGCCACACATATTGACGAAATCGCCAACCGGGACCTCAAGATCTCTTGGCAGAACCGGGCAACCACCTTGTGAGAACAGCATCTCTCATATATTAGACCCATCTCCAAATGTCGAATCAGCACAGGTGAGCACTGACCCCTATTTAACACCTAACCTGTCCGCAATTAATAGGGAACAGGTACCAGAAAATCTTCTTTTCGACGGCGATGCATCCTTACCAATCGACGATGCTTTATTCTTCCCAATTAATGACGGGTACTTTGAAATGGATGATGAAGTCCCTCTCGGCACCGATATTATGGATCTTTTTAACTCAGCCATGCCGGGTATAGATCCGTACTATAACCCAATGATAGGTGGCGATCCCCAAGATTAGGATGTTTTGATTAGGAAGTAAAGGCGTGGGGTTAGGTTGATTTAACGGCGAAAATATCGGGTTTTATGTATATTATATATCACACTTGTTGTATGGTTAGGTTGCTCCTGTTTTATAGCACTGATAATTGCGTACTAGAGCAAGAGATTTTAGGACTTAGGAAAATCCCGCTACTCTTATTACTAGGTTGCAAATTGGAGCTTAGGAACAATGAAAGTTACAAGTTGAATAACGTATAAGAGTTGTTCTTTGGCAAAAGAAGCTAGAAATGTACAAAATTGTATATCTTATTTAAACATATTTTAATACTTCAAGATGACAATAGTAAAGACTTCATTAAACTATCATATATAAGTACGCTTCAAAGCACGATATATTGGGCCCCAACTGAAAATTCAAACAAAGCTTATAATGTATATTTGGAATGGTTGGACTGGCAAAATGTATTGAGAAAAGACCATGATATCTTTAAAGATGTAAGACTTACAATGTAACTATTTATACCAATCTTTCCTTATATAATAAGGTTTACGCTAGTCTAGCATAAGATGTCTCTTGTAGACCTTAGGTCTACAAGAGACATCTTAGAAGAATCAACTTCATTTAGACTTCATCTCGTGCCTAGCACTCACCTAGTTAATACTCGACTCGACAACAAAGCAAAAGAGCATTCTGTTATAGTAACTAAGTCTGTTTTTTTCGGGTGGTAAATCCACACAATAACGTTCCATTCAAAAAAGGCAAGATGTAATAGCAAAGCTTACTAAAATGGAATAAGTAGGTAGCTATTAAGTTTGTGTTATATATCCCTGTGTTGGACTTTAACCGGTATTTTAGTAGTGTTTGGATGTGTTCGTATTAATGCTACTTAATATATTCCACATATATTTAAGACACTGATATGTTTTCTTATGAGAAAAGGTTTCTGAAATTTTTGCTAGAACGTTTAGTACACACTACCCAATTTCATTCTAAGTTACCCTTTACCTATAAGACCGTTCTATGTAACCAAATTAAGTTTCAAAATCCGTGTTACATCGACTGCGTCAAAACCTCATCGGTAAGCTCCACCGCAGCCTAGTGCCATAAACGATTGTATATATATTGCTTCTTTTGTACTCATTCTCTCAAGGTGCCAAAATATTCACCTCTCGCTAGTATCAAATTAGATAAACATGGCTTTTATTGTGTTGTTTATGGTAGAAAACCTGGGTTTCCCTTTCATATTAGCAGTAAGCGGAGCCAATGCCTTGTCCCTTGGTGAGCATTTCCCTTCCTAGCCTCTCATATTACTATCGTCATACGTTCCTATACTAGAAGCTGCTCCCACTTTCCACCTCACATTGGGTGTCAAAGGATTTCCTATGCCATCCGAATCTAGACAACGGTAATGATAGGATGTTACTACTTTCACAAGGCTCGTCCATCTCTCATCCTTTAGCACTCCTACCTCTGGTATCTACGGACATTGCCTACAATGAACTGTCTCGACATCTAAGACGTCCCCGTAGGTATGTTCTGAACTAGTAGAGTATCCCATAGCATAAGGCCAAGTAAATATGAATCGTCTGGATCGTCTTGACCGTCTTGACCGTCTTGACCTTCCCAGCGTCTGGACCAAGCGGTCGAGAAAGACGTCGCCGACATGCCTACTAATTATGTCACATGTACATGTTAGAACATCGTATCATCCCGCTTTGCGTACATAGCTGAAGTATCTCCCACAGTTTTTCCAAAATTAACCCTAGTTACCTGCCACTTCCTTCTAGGGTTTCAACTTTAGACATCACACAACCTTGACGTCTTCTTTCCCTCTGCGTACATACCTGACCCATTTCTTACAATTATTATTCTCAAAACTCCATTTTGACGAAACAACTCGCACTATTTTCCCTCAAGATCTTCATCGTTAAAGATCACAGCAGCAGTGTTTTGTTCCATGTTGCGTCCACACCTACTCTATCTCCTAGGATTCTTATTTTCGAAACTCCAACCTAGCAAGACAACTTTCACATCTTTTTTCTACACCCTTGGGTATCACGCAGCTTTTGCGTACATAACCTGCTTCTAGCAATTCCTATTTCCAAAGTTACACTCTAGTAACATACACTTCGTTGCCTTCTGGAATTTCACTATTGAATGTCACACGACATCTTTAGACAGCAAGCACACCACAGTCGCGTTTTATTCTCCTTTGCATACACCCCGGTCTTGTTCATCGAAAGCCTTGTTTGAAAGCTCTATCTTAGCTCTGTTTCCAGATCCTCATCATTGAACACCACACGGAACTTCTTCCTTCCAGACTGTCACTCTTAGACGACACGTATCTGCATTTTGTTTCACTCCGAGAACAAAATGCCTTCCAAGAACGCACTGGAAGCGGCTCTCCGAGATATGATGATGGAGGGATTTGGACAGTTTAAGCAGATGGCCATCAATATTGGCAAGATGACCGATGTTGGCGAAGACGACGCCTCTTGGATTGCCGAAGTATTTAAAGCCGACATGGTTAGGACATTCGGTGAACTCGCTAATGCTAACATGGAGGTCATCAAAGCCGCCATCAAGAAGCAGCTTGCCACTAATGGAAGCAAAGATGAGACTAAGAAGCAGTTGGATGTTGCGACACCCCAGGTTCGCAAGCGACCTGCCAACACCCTAGAAACTCAGGAGCACACCGAGAAGGGTAAGCTAAACTATACATCTATATTAGCCCAATATCTCAATCTCTTACTAACCCTGTACTTACTTTTTAGCCCCCCGCCGCGCCCTCCTTCAAGAGTCCTATCTCCAACCGGCTCGTCCGGCTCGTCCGGCGCCCGCACGCGGTTATACCGCACAACTTCGGCCTGCACGCTCCAAGAATGTCATAGTCATTCCAGATGACGATGACGATGACGAGGACGATGAAGGGGATGGGGTTCCCGCTAAAGTCTCCGGCAACACCCCCGCCAAAGCACTAGCGCCTAAGAAGTCTCGTTCCCAACGTACATCGTCGCAGACTATCAATTACAACATGGTCGATTACTATGAGGAGCGTGGTGTTCCCGATATTTAAAAGGAAATACCTACGGCTGACTATCAAGTGTGCGAATGAATGATGGTCCGAAAGGATTAGAGTATGACCAAATGAGTGTTACTGTTCCGGGTCTGGTTGTTTTCGTCCTAACAGGATGCGAGATTTGTTTTTGTGTTTGCGTGGGTCGATATGAGAGGAATTGCGATAATCTGTGAGGCGTACGAGCTAAGAGACGACCATATTGGTCATTCATGTTGACTAGGTACTATATTAGTTATTAGTCAGTTCGGTCGAAGACTTCTTAGAAGTCAAGCTTTAGTCGAATGAACATAGCATGCATACTTTGATATTGCCTCCTTATGCCCTTGCTCTATTGCTATGATATTTACGAATACCTATGATGCTATACCTCCCTATCAAACCTATACACAGCGCCTGAAAGTCACGTATGCTTCATGTTATGTGCGATCAACACCTAATAAGCTATGGGGCTAAAGAGCCTCGAACTTCGAGGTTCATAAACGCCTACCTACTGCCTACTCGCCGATCCCGTAGCTCCTAACCCGGCTGAAGAAGAAAGGCTTTCCATTCTTGAGTGGGAACTCTGCCCAGTCGTCCGTCTGCCTGTTGTAGCTCCAGAAACCCTTCCACGTTAGCCTGTTGTTGTTATTCCTATTTATGGCTGCCGCCTTGCCTGTGCCCCGGAATGTAAGCTCCATGCGGTACATGTACTTCCCCACACCTTCTGTCTCGACGTACAGGTCACCTTCCGCGTCGGCTAGAGTTGTCCCTGCATTAGTATTGTTGGTGCTGTCGTTATTCTTATCCGCTGATGAGGATAAGCGCCAGCGCCCTTTTAGCGCAGAGCCCATGACGGCGGAGGGCAGGTAATGGGGCCCAGAGCCACCGCGGTGTAAGGCCACATTATCTCGTGTAAGGTGGTGCACAACATGGGCGGGCTCGTCGGTGGTCAGTAGGCTTATGGCGGTGCCGTCGCGGAACAGCCGCAGGTACCGATAGTAGGTTACGATGTGAACAGGACTATTCCACGTAACCTGGTGCGCTGACGCCTGTCCCGGGCGGATATAGTTCACCGTGCTGATGTAACACCCATTAAATCGCACCCTTGGGCGCCGCCGGAACATTGTCTTCCAGGATGATGCGTAGGGTCCACGAAGTAACAGGTTCGTTGTTGCTCGACTCTCCTCCTGTCGTTGACGGGCCAGTTCCTCTAGAGTAAATACGTCATTAGAGTCGGCGAGTTCCTGTGTTATGTCTAGAGGCTCCCAGCTGATACCCCTTTGCCAATGGTAGTGCATCCCACCGAAACCAAATTCGTGACCTAAGCAGACCCGTCGCCAGATTTGATCCTCGGTAGCTACCAAGTAAGCTAACCTCTTACAGACCCGGGCTAAACGCACGAAATCACCCACATCTGCGACCGCGACGTCTCGCAGGATATGGACGAGAATCTCGTCGGGCAGCATAGAGATGGGGCATGGAGGCGCTTCTACGCCTTCGCATTCTGGTGGTGCTCCCTCAATTTTGAGGCTGGAGAAGCTGGTGATGAGGTCGGGCAGGGACAATGCGGGCGCTCCACCATCTAGGGAGTGATGGGCGGTGTTGGGAACGGTTACGGGAGCGTTAGATGGGTTGATTTGGCCCGGCTTTATCCAACGGCCTGGGAAGTGCTTATTACGGTAGGACTGGTCGACATTGTCGTCCATGCGGAAGGCCTTTCGATAGAGTTGTAGACTATCGCCGAGTTTACCGGTCGCCTCCCTCTCGACGGCTTTTTCGTAGAAGTCTAAGGCGGTCTGGGGCTCTTGACCTCTATCCTTAGTAGAGTCTCCATCGTGATGGCCGAGCTTCTGGCCTGTTATGGATTTACTAGTATCTGGCTCATCGAAATGCTGGGGTTGATAGTATTCATCCTCATCTTCTACTTGATGGATAGTCTTTGAAGTTGATTTTCTATGCGTAAATTCATTTCTCCTCGGAGGCCTATTGGTTGTTATAGTTGAAGAGGATCCTTGTTGATTAGGGGCTGTCCTCTGCTGCTGTTGAGAGCTAGCAGTATTTCTTGATCGAGCCGAGACTTCGGCTCGCCATTGTTCTCTAAAGCTCTCTAGCTCAGATTGTATCTGCTGGGTCGGTTGGTCCATACTGGCAAGCTATGGTCACAATTCTATAAATATGAATTTTAATGTACAGTGCTTAATTAAAAACGGTAATTACCTAGAGTAAAATCCGGCGTATCGTAAGTACTTTTTATGTGGGTATTAGAGAATGATTATATATCTAGTGAGGATGAGGATAGGATTTGAGGTGATTCGCGGAATATCGGATGAAGTTAAAAGTCGGCCTCTTATAACGTTGAGGTACAATGAGGTGCTCCGGCGTGACGGGCTAGAGCTGCGCGGGATGCATTATCTAAATCCATCTTATCGCCGAACGACACCTGTACTTGCTGTGGAGGGGTCCTAGTGGGGCAGCTAATCGCTAGCTCAGGACGATCCGATTGGTTTTGACATCATGGATAAGACGATAAGGGACCGTGCGTTTACCTTTATCGAGAACGGTTCTCGATTTCCGCTGCGTCGGTTTGGAGTACCTAGCTCGGGCTCGGCCTAGGACCGGTAAATTCTCTTTAAAAAGATTAGTCTCGCCATTTTTGTTCTTATGTATGTATTAATGACGCGAAGAAAACCGCCTTCCCGCGATATCGCAGACCTCCATCCCTCGTCTTTGATATTCTTCGCCTCCCCTAATCTGGCCACTCACAATTTACAACGAAATACCTACGTAAAACTTCCTATATAGCAATACAATATCTTTACAACCCATCCACTCCCCACAATATTGAGACGTCTTTTCTCTTTCTACTGTAGATTGAGCTGTCATAAAGGGCGCCCCCGGCACAACCGGGGCCAGCGCATATAAAAATGGCATCTAATCATAGCTTCGCTGGCCACAACCATGACCGATTAGGAGGAGGCGAAGACGCTTTTGCGGGACAAACGATGGTTTCGTCTCAAGATGACGGCAACGACGGGATGGATATCTCGGCGGGGCAGAAGATGCTTTCTGCCATTACCGGTAGTCTTCTTACATCGCTTCTAGGTAAGCTTTTCTCTACGTCACCTTAGCGATAGGGCTCTAAGCTGATATTATTCTGTATAGTCACTCCTCTGGATGTCGTCCGTGTCCGACTGCAATCGCAAGGTTCGTCGCAACCCATTGCAGACTTCCAGAGACTTGCAACTTCGTCACCCAATGCTTTTCGGCCATCGAACCTTGGAGTTACAGCGTGTTGCCGAGAGGTGTTCTTTATGAATAACAATGCCGAAGTATGCGTCGCCGGTCCGATTGAGAGCATATCCGCTTCTGGGGAATGCGCCGTGGAGGAGGTACAGAAGAGGCGATTTAACTCGACTTTTGACGGTATGAAGAAGATTGCCCGCCACGAGGGTCTCGCGACGTTATGGAGAGGTTTATCGCCGACGTTAGCTATGACCGTGCCCGCGAACATTATCTATTTCACCGGTTATGATTGGCTACGATATAGCAAGACAAGCCCTGTCAGCAAAATGACTAGGGAAGAATATGCGCCCATGGTAGCCGGCGCATCCGCGCGAGTTGTTGCAGTTGCTGCGGTCAGCCCAATCGATCTATTCCGAACCCGACTGCAAGCATCACCAGGCTCGACTGCAGCTGGCCATTTAGCGAATACTTTCAAGGGACTCCGAGAGATGGTGGCCGACAAGGGTTATAGCTCTCTTTGGAGAGGTTTAACTTTAACTCTCTGGCGAGACGCCCCCTTTTCGGCCATGTATTGGTTTGGCTACGAGACGATCAGAGGTAAGCTTACCGATGCGCGAGAAGAGCGACGTGGCAGGCATTCAACTCGAGAGGATGACGGTTCAAGAGCGCGGCGGAGAACTAGGTCACAGAGCAGGGAGAGTCACGCAGCGACTTTCATGGACAGTTTTACTGCCGGTTGTCTTTCAGGCGCTTTTGCATCGACGATAACGATGCCATTCGATGTAGGTAAAACCCGACGGCAGGTTTATCAAGACACGTCGAACAAGGCTCTGCCTGCAGTGGAGAAGGCCGTAGAACCGGAAGCTCAACACATGCTTCGCCTCCTCTCGCATATCTATTCGACCGAAGGACTGGCTGGACTCTGGAGAGGATGGCTGCCTCGTACGCTCAAAGTTGCGCCGTCTTGCGCTATCATGATCAGCAGCTACGAGGTTGGTAAGAGAGCGTTTAGGAGTATCAACGAACATAAAGTTCGGAAGCACAACGAGGGTCGGGCTGACGAGCCTTGACATGTAGCACCACCCCTCTCCCCTCATTTCTGGATTTGCATTAGCAGGCGTTGATTAGAGTTACGATACCTTACTTAGAGACCAAAAGGAACCGGGACCAAAAATTAGGGACGGCTGGACGGTTTGGTTTAATCACGCGATGTTCATTTAAGAGACGACTGCATAAATCGGAACGGCCCCTAATGATGATTTGTATATTATGTTACAGAAGTTAGAGGGAAAAAGAAGAAAAAAGAAAAAGAAAAAGAAAGCAAAAGAGGCGATGGCATCATCACAACTCGACACCCAAGTTCTTGATGAGCTTTTAGACGAATTAATACGATGATAATTCTGACGATTATTATGAATTACGTAGATTGTGCTTGGACCTCTGTTTCCTTTATTACACATCATTTCTAGGACTTTTTGAGGCCCTGAACCTTGCGCATCGTAATCGCACAAGCCACTTTACGCGTGTAGAAAGTCGCGTTAAGTGCCAAAAGGGGGTTTCGCGTCTTGGAGACGCGTCGAGACTCGAATCCCCATTTAACATAGAACCTTGGGCCTTTCCAATGTCAGCCTTTTTACAATTCAATTGTTCACTCTACTTTCCGCTTGCACGTCTAATTTGACCAAATCGTCAGAATTCCGACGTTTGTTATATATTTGCCTAAGAATTGTATTAGATTGATCCATTTTGAGGAAAAGTATTCACGGTGCCGTGCCTACGTTATTTAAGACACCTCCCGACTTGGGATATAGGTCGCCTATTAACTCGACCTCGACCTCGTCTACACATACACTTATACTTACAAACTCTTACTGTATTCAAACCTGCAGCTACTTATACAATGTCTTCCACAAAGCGCAAGAGCGAAGGTCTCACGTCCGGCGACGCCAACAAGAAGCCCAAGGTGAACGCGAGTATAACATCGTTCTTCGGTGCACCTAAGAGCTCACCCACCTCGTCCCCCGCAAAGTTTGGTGCGGGCCCCGAGCCGGCGCCCCTCAAGTTCGACAAGGACAAGTGGGTCGCGGGCCTAACGCCAGAGCAGAAGCGTCACCTCCAGCTTGAGATCCAGACCTTGGATCCTAGCTGGCTGGTTCACCTCAGAGAAGAGATTACGTCTCCCGAGTTCATCGAGCTCAAGAAGTTCCTCGAGAGCGAGGTTAAGGCCAATAAGAAGGTGTTCCCACCTAGGGAAGATGTCTACTCATGGTATGTCGATGTTGCATCTCGTCTTCTTGCGCTCTACCTACCTCCATCCTGGAATGCTACATACTCGATACATAGACTTGAACTAACATCATCCTCAGGTCTCGCCACACACCCTTCAACACAGTCAAGTGCGTGATCCTAGGCCAAGACCCCTACCACAATGTCAACCAAGCGCACGGCCTAGCCTTCTCCGTCCGGCCTCCAACCAAGGCTCCCCCTTCCCTCAAAAACATGTACATCGCGTTAAAGAAGGACTACCCGGACTTCGTGCCCCCGCCCAACGGCGGCGGTCTGCTAACCCCTTGGGCGGAGCGCGGTGTACTCATGATCAATACATGTCTTACTGTGCGTGCGCACGAGGCTAACTCCCACGCGAACCGCGGCTGGGAGCGCTTCACGCAGAAAGTCATTGACTTGGTGGCGCAGAAGCGCACTCGTGGTGTCGTGTTCCTGGCCTGGGGCAACCCCGCCGCGAAGCGAGTTACTAAGGTTGATACCAAGCGCCACCTTGTGCTGAAGAGCGCGCACCCGAGCCCGCTGAGCGCATCGAGGGGGTTCTACGACTGCGGGCATTTCAAGCAGGCTAATGAGTGGCTTGCGAATAGGTATGGTGAGGACGGCGTTATCGATTGGAATCTTAATCCTAGCGAAAAGAAACCGGAGGAAGCACAGCAAGAAGTTTCGCCGCCTGTTGTAGCTGTGGGAAAAGCGAATGAGGAGAAGGGTGAGGAGGAGAGTAAAATCCTTCAGGAGGAGGGTGAAGAGGGCAAAGAAGACAAAGATACAGCAAGTGATGCTGAATCAAAGTGAGTCTACTTTCACAAATTGCGCATTATGCGGGTTAGGGACATGGGGCGTCCGGATACTTTCTTTTCTGGTCGTATAGGTTTACTGGTCGGCGTTCTATGTGGTTTACATGCCTGGACTGGTGTGTGCTCGTAGTATATCGACATTGTATAGGTCGAGGAAAAAGCCCTTTAGGAAGAGGCGGTGCATGTGAATAATACCTAGTTTGTTTAAGTTATGAGTTGTGTACCTCGTTAGATAATACGCTTTGCATCCGTGATGTTGCTAAGCGTGTCCTTAGTCTGTCATGTATATAGTCGGTATTGTTATAATCGCCGTCTGTTTCTTCGCATATCCTTCTTGTTGGAGTAGTATAATCGGTTAGCTAAGATACTGTGTAATGAGATAACGAAATGTTCATTGTGATAGGTTTGACGAATACCCGCCTAGAACACCGTCTGACCTAGGAACATATAATTGCTCGACCCTAGAAGCGAAATGAAGGGTTCGCTTCTCAAAACGAATCTCATCTAATGCTACAAGAAATTATGTAAGTAATTATGATAGTATTCGCAAATATCATATCACTAGTACTATACATAGATAAAATGGCAATCGTTATGCTGGATCCGTTAAACGCAGTCTGCTCATAGGCGAGCAATCCAGTAGTCTGAGATAGAGATCGGAACCGAGATACCTATGGAGGGCATCTGGGTATGGCAATGGCGCTATAGCATCTTGGCGCATAAACGGGATCTGCGACGACGTTTCGCTGTGATGCTTCATAGCCTGGTAAAGGTTAGCTTGCAAGGCTTATCTAAACGGATATGTTATCATCGGCATTAAGCTCGATCGAGGCCGTTGAAGAAATGTCTCGGGAACCGAAAATGGAGACCTGGCCGGCTACCCCACCATAGACCAGCGTTACATGCCGCCGTTGTACATAATGAGGTACGTAGTCTGTTTGTTCCATCTCTAGGGACTGTTGGAACGAAAATTCCGCTGATAGATAAGTGCTAGAATATTTTTATTTTTATTTATATTTATTTATTTGTTATCTTTTATAGACATCGAAGATACCTAGGTAGGTAGTTAGTCAGCTAGCTGTTCTTGTAGGTTCTTGCGAATATAATGTGTCTGTCGTGTAAGTATGGCCACTGGGATAATCGTGGTTGTGGAGTACTTCGTTGAATAATATTCAGATAACTGCCAGATAACATGTGCATAAGCCCGAGATCCCACGCTAGTCATGCAGGTCCCTTCGTCCCCTAGATTCATTGAATGTTCTATGCAAGGCGAGCCACACACCTGCACAAGTATGTTGTACATCGGAACTGTTCAGATAAATTGTCGACAGGTACAAACTTGGTTAATGGCGTTTTCCAAGACTCAGCTTCTCAAGAGGCTCAAGCAGAACCAAGTTTCAAGGACCTGGGCAGCCCACGCTCCTCGCCGTAATTTTGCATTCGTTTTTTTTCACCTGAGAAATCGTACAACTAGATGGAGGGATAGCCCGAGGAAAGGGAGATTGCAACGTACCTAATATGTACGTAGTATCCAGCCAATGTCTCGCACGAAACCCCTTGGAAGCCCAATGCGCAATTATTGGACGCGAAAAGTCGCGGTCGGTGTAAGACACGCTTAATCCAATAGCATTGGCGTTTCTGTACCAATAGCTCGCAGCTAACTCTTCGAATCAGGCTTCTCCTGTTAGGGGTGACCTCACCACAATTGCCAACTCATCTAAACCCTAGCCTATAAGAAGCGACCGGCCGAACCGGGTCCAATGGGTTTCGTGAATTAATTGGCTTCGGATTCCGAGTGATGAGTTGTGCTCATGCAAGGTTGACGCCCTTTTAGAGAATGATCTGGGCGAGGAGGAAAGGGACGCGATAATATCTTGGCGCTTCGTTCTAAATGATCTATCCCGGTGATCGGTGATAGTCAAGGCGACAACTCAGGACATGGTAAACTAGGAAAATATCTTTCCGATGCTCATATTCCTGTTGTTTTCATAGGGTGTTACACAGCACGAAAACGGCTACAGACAGGACCAAATCCAGATTAAATATAGCTTCAAACGATGAAAAGGAAGGTTTAGGTAACCATGCATTGGATGAATTCGGTCGATGGTGACATCTGAGGTGGCATTTGAAATAGAACTGCCGATGGTGTTCCGATAATGCTCAACCCCGTCTGTTCAAATCTCACGTTGCAGGAGACGAATCGAGCTGCTGCCGATCGAACTCAGGCTAGGTAGTATTTCGTTTCACGGCCGCGATAATGGATGTCCATAGCGACCTAACAGGAAACGCTTCTCAAGAGATACGCTGGAAGTGAAGCTATCGTCAAAATAGGTTTGGTACAACACTTGCTGTTTGAGTCGATGTGGGATGGTTCGAGTTTGAGCTGACAGCTAATTTACCAATGACTTGGTAACTCACCCGGTCTAGTCAGAAAACTACGGTCCTGGTTTTCGTGCTGGTGAGGCAAACATGGAAGTTCGCAGGTCACCCAGGCGGAAGAGAGATAGGTGCAACTCCACCCAATTATGACGAGGGCTCTTTAGCGGGACCTATGGGCTTTTGATGCGGGCAAGCCCACTTGATGTATCTGTGCTGTAGATTTATGACATGGATATAAGTTCCATGTGAGATGTGAGGTTGAAATGGTCTAGGTTCTAGGTTCGGGTTGCTACATCTCGCCAATGATGATGGCTTTTTTGGGGGAAGACACTTGGTAAAGTCTGACCGGATGCCGCCTGATTACCACTTCCCGTCCTGTAATTAAATTAGAGTTCTTGGGTAAGGACGCGAACCTGTAAAGTATTCTCAGCTGTGCTTGGGCGGGAAAGTAACTTCTAGGTACTTACGTTCTTGTTTAACACAGAAAATCTAACGGTGCCTTGACCACGTTGGCCAACGCAACCCCTGCTGCACCTTCTCCACGCATGCTGGCATGCTGATAGTAGGTACACCCGCACCTCCAAGCGTGGTAAATGTACATTAGCGCGCCTGCTTGGACTACCTATTCTGGGCATAGCGGCATTGAAGGAGATTATTTTAGCTCTTCTAGTGGTAGCCCACCAGGTAGGCGCCGTTAAGGTCCAGAGCTGTAATTGGATAGCCCAGTACGTGTCTAGTAGATTTTGGGGGAGTAGCGAGGACGACTTCCTTGATCCGTCATTTATGGGAACCTCGTCGAAGTTTGGACCGCCCCTTAATATTATTATTTTTCTCCCCTTGGCGATTGGAACTTTTTTGAACTCTACCATGTGTGCATCTTGATACCCTTCGTTTTGCCGCTTCACGCATATTCGTGAACGCTTCAATTCTAATCGTTTGATCTTTCGTTACTCTTTTTCTTTTTCTTACCCTTTCTGTCGAGGTGTGGTATCCTCCTATTGATTCATACCCTGGAGCTGGGGTTTTTTTCCCACCGGTAAAGAATATCTCAAAACATACCTGGTTCGAATACGTCGAGCTCCGTTGGCAAATACCGTTCGATAATATTACTTGATACCCAACCCCCACTCTGTTGGCGCAACTCGGACAAGTCTTCCTCTACAAACATTTTATGCGTTAGCCCGCGTTATAATTCGACTATCAAAATACCCACTTGTCTATATCCAACGTTCTCGAACTTAGATTTACGTGGTGCTGTGAACGGAAACCTAGACGGGTACCTCAAGCCTACCAATCACCATGCCGAGCCTCTTCTCTCGAATAAGGGGCAAAGATGGCCCGAAGTCTAAGAAAAACGGCAATCTGGCTGATTTAGCAAACCAATTGCCCAACAAGCCGCGCTGGGAAGATGCGTATACGCGAACGACGGTAGAACCCGAGGAGGTCCAAGAATTAGTAAAACGCTGCACGGAGGAAGTCAAAGCTAGGGGTATGAATAGCAAAATAATCCTTTCTCACTTGAGCTAGTATAGGCTAATCCGTTCGCGACGTGTAGCTCTCGATCTTCCCTTTCTCCTTCTCCCATTTCGACCGACTTCTGATCCTAGCGCCGTGCGCACTTTCATCCGCCACTTTTTCAATGATGAGCAGAACCTACGCGGCGAGGCCCTTGTACAGGAGCTACGAATGACCGAGCCTATGGTGCGTCTTGCCAACTAGAACAATATGCGCTAGTTTAAGAAATTCTCATTAACAAACTCAGGTTATTTCGGGTGTCCTGAAATGGGTATGGAGCAGATTGCTAGGCGGCATTGTGGGCTGGGATGCCTACGAGCTTTTCAGAGTTGGAGAGCAAGGTACGACCTATCTATTTAGTACATGTGTGGAATATTATACTGAGGAATGACTTATGATTTAGATTCGAATATGGCCCGCGATTCGTTCTCTACCTTCATTCCGCTGAGCGTCGAGAACCAGGCACGATCACATATCATATTCGACTACTTCGATTTACTCTCAGCCATCGCAGCTCATGGTAAGTCGAACGGTTTCGGCGGTCGTAAACTGTCTCGCATGGCAGCTTGGTGGGCCTTCGAACATAAGGATACTGGCAATGGCTTCGACGGAGGATATAAATCATGGCTGAGGTTTGCGCATCCCTAAGCCCGAAATTTAAGATCGGTTCGCTAATAAATCCTAGTGCCGCGGATGCGACGAGCCATCTGTTCTTTGCCTATCTCAGATCCTTATCACCCCAGCAGGCTCGCGCAGGTATTTCCATGCTCCCCATGTCCTTGCAAAAGTTGCTGCAGGAAACCGAGTATCCCCCGCAGGCGCCGTCATTATTGATGTCGTCGACGTACAGGGTTGTCATGATTGTCGATGCTGTGTCGTCCACACCGTTTGCGCTTTTACGCCGTGCTAATCATTTCCAATACCGCGATGAGGACCAAGCTCTTCGAGAGTTTTCTGAGTATGAGGATCCTGTGAAGGCCCTAACCGAGGAGTGCCGCAGAGTTCTTAAGGCGATATCTCTTGCGAATCAGTCTCAAGTTTCTAGCTCGAAGCACTCTACTGGCCTACGAGATGCGTCATGGTCGCGATTCGAAGATATCGGCTTTGGAGGCTCTCTAGAGGAAGAGGACGAAGACTCAGACTCACTAAAACTTAGCCAAGTTCGAAATCCCCGTGGGCTACGGACTACTCCCGCGTCGGGCACGAATCTTGGCAGACCAACTACTCCCTCTTGGGCAGACTTCCTATCGTCCGGTTTCGTCGATGACGCGCCGAACAGCCCCTCGAACCTCTTACTACCCCCGGATAAGATTCTGCCCCCCATCGAGACAACTGTTAGGCAGCGTAGCGCGCAATCGCACCGTCCGCGTCTAGAGAGCGATCGTCAGCTGGAACCCGGCG